CCGTGTTCCCACACTAGGTTCCGTGGATCGCAAGATGAAGGACACACGCCCTATGGGTGAGGACCCAAAGAGGAGGGGGGCAGAGGAGGGACACATAATTCAGAGGGTGCCACACTTCTGAATTCAAGGCGCCTTGGGTGGGTGGAAGTGAGGGCCTGTGAGGGGACATGGGGCTGAGTCTTAAGGAATGGTGGCAGGTCACATCCTGAGGACAGACACTGATCGAGGCTAAAGAGACGAACTTTCTCCCAGGAGCACTGGGGTTTGGGGGAAGTAAGTACAGCGAAGTGAAATTATCTGACCTACATTTCAGAATGATCCTTGGGTGCAAAAAAGAGGGAGGACCTAAACAGAGTAAGGGACTGGCCCTCAGCACCCCTTCCCACTCCCATCTGGCACGCCCGCCTGCAGGGCTTGGCAAGCTAGACACATTCCCAGACTCCCTTGCAGCTAAGTTCTAAAATCTGAATTTTCTGAATTAAGTTATGCCTAAAAAATCTGAATTGGGGGGGTGCCTGTGTGGCTCAGTTGATTAATAAGAGACTGCCTTCAGCTCAGGTCATGATCCCAGGATCCTGGAATCGAGTCCCACATTGAGCAGAGACCCTCCTTCTCCCTCTCCCTCTGCCCCTGTCTCCCACTTGGGATCTCTCTCTCTCTCAAATAAATAATAAAATATATGTTTTTAAAAATCTGAAGTAGGTTCTGCCAGGTGGAAGCAGTTGTCCATGAGCTGGAAGGCACAGGGAGGTGGGGCCATCTTTCTCTTGCCTCGTCTGTTTCCTGCTGGGAAGGAAGAAAAGACACAGGGTGACTCTGCAGTGTCCAGTGTCCAGTGTCCAGCCTCTAGTGCCCTACAAAGACCGCTGCAGGAGACAGGGGCATCCTCCTCCCGGCTTCCCAACCCCAGCTCTCAGCTCCAGGATGCGGGATGTGTTCTTAAATGAAGAGATCTAATGTTAGCCTTGAGATTCCCAATCTTTATGATCAGACAGAGGCACCCCTCTCTGGGAGCCAGTTTTGCAGTACAGGGCAGCCATCATTCCTGTCCGGTCTTCCAGGGACTACATCAGCACCAGATAGCCTGAGATAGGGGGCTTCAGGAGTGCTCTAGCTAAGAGATGGCTAAAAGCAGAGCACCTAGGTGGCTCAGTCGGTTAAACATCTGCCTTAGGCTTGGGTCATGAACCCAGGGTCCTAGGATCGAGTCCCCTATCGGTCTCCTTGCTCAGTGGGAAGCTTCCTTCTCCCTCTGCTTGTACTCTTTCTCTCTCTCTCTCTGACAAATAAATAAATCTTAAAGAGAGAAAGAGAGAGATGGCTAAAAGCTTGAACCAGGGCTGTGGCCGCAGGCTGAGCATTTGGAAGACAATTCTGAAGACTCCACTTGGCTCATTGATTTGCTGGAGGTAGATGGGGGATTAAACCGACTCCAAACTTCCTCGTTTGCCTGGCTGGGAGAAGATGAAACAAGCCACTGGTCAAGATAGGGAAGAAGGAGGGAAGAGTAAGAATGAGAAGGAAGGTGAGGATTCTGAGTTGGCCCATTGGTTTGAGGCCTTGGAGGGTGTCAGGTGAAGGTGTCACCACTAGGCAGGTGCACACTAGAGTCTGGAGGGGAAAGACTGGGAGATGCTGGCCCAGAGGTGGGGATTCCGGCCCCGGGGTGATGGGGAGAGGGGTGATGGGTGGGAGGATGTAGACGGAGAGAAGGGGGTCCTAGGGTGAATTCTGAAGAACCCTGATATTTGAGGGGTGAACAGTGGAAAAGCAACCCAAGGAGAGATCTGAGAAGGGGGGGATGGGCCAAAGGTGTCAGTTCCTAGTGTTGGCAGCAGTGTCACAGAAAGCCACCAGCAGGGTCAGACCAGGTCAGGTGGTGTTAGACGCCTCTACGAGTCACACGCCCTGGGACAACCCCATCCTATCAAGAGGCTCCTTGCAGCCAGCAGCATGGAAGCCAGCAGCCAGGGCACCTGGGTGGCTTAGTTGGTTAAGCGCCTGCCTTCAGCTCAGGTCATGGTCACATGTCAGGCTCCCTGCTCAGTGGGGAGTCTGCTTCTCCCTCTGCCTCTGCCTGTTGCTCTCGCTGCTTGTGTTCTCTCCCTCTCTTTCTCTCCCTCAAATAAATAAATAAAACCTTAAAAAAAAAAAAAAAAAGAAGTCAGCAGCCTCTTGCATATACAAGGCTGAAATGAAATTTTATTATCTCTGTTTCCTGAAGGGTTTACTCATAAATTTAGCTCCTCGGTGGGCTTCCTGAGAAAATTGTCAGTATAAGACGGGCTCAGAAGCCACACTGTGAGGGACTGAGGAGCAGGTGGGAGTCCCGTAGACAGGAGAAGAAGCTACTCTTTCTACACGTGTGCAGGGGCCTGGGAAGGTGAGAGAGTGGGAACAGCAGGCAAGGCTGAAGGGGGAGACACCACTTTCTCTTGGTGGGAAGGGGGGAGAGAGCAATACCAGAGATCAGGAGGAGGGGGAACCTGAGGGGGTGCTCCCTCCTCTCCACTCCTACTGTCCTGACTATCACTCATATTGGGAAGCCCACACTGACCAGTCTCCCTCTCCAACGCACCCTCCAGGCAAAGGGAGTGAGCTCAAACTCACACCTCACCCTCCCTGACTGCGAATCACTCATTGGCTCCTGGTGCCCAAAACTAAGTCCGGGATTCCTGGTGCTCCCAGACAGAGCCCGCCCCAATCTCCCCACCACCTGGCTTCCCACCCATTTGCCCTGCTCCTTCCTAACTGAAAAACGTGCTGCAGCAGCCAAACCACCGGGGCTTAATTGCCTCCGGACAAGCCATTGTCCCTCATGTGTGTGTGAAAGCCATTTCTGACTCTTTTGTTGTTGTTGTTTTGTTTTGTTTTTTAAGATTTTATTTATTTATTTGAGAGAGAGAGATCATGAGCGGGTCTGGGTGGCGGGGGGAGGGGGTTGATGAAGAAGCAGACTCCCCGCTGAGCAGAGAGCCCCTTGAAGGACTCAATCCCAGGGCTCTGGGATCATGACCTAAGCCAAAGGCTGCTGCTTACCAGACTGAGCCACCCAGGCGCCTACCATTTTTGACTCTTGAACACTTATCTGAGTTCCCCTGAAGGTCTCAGAAAGTGGGGAAGAGAAAGGTTTGACCCTTTGAGAAGCTGTCTTTCTCGGTGAGGGCTCAAGGAGGGAATGCTCCTCCCCCAAGGCCAAAGCCAATCACAGCTAGGGCATTGCCCCCTTTTTCCAGTGCTTGGTTTAAAGGTGGGCATGTAACCCAGTTTGAGCCAATAAGTCATTAAAGAGAAGTTTGCTGAGGGATTCTGGGAACGTTTTTCTCCCTGCTGAAAAGAAAGCTCTGTGCTAGAAGGGGATCCTTTCTTTCCTGCTTTTGGATGCTGAGGTGTGAGTATGTGATGTGGCAGCCACTTTGTGACTATGAGGGGAAACATGGTGGACACGCTGAGAATAGCGGAATGGAATAATGAGCAAGAATGAGGTCTAGGATATTGGGCTGAGCCACTACCCTCTATCTGCTCAACCTCCTGACGTCTTGTTAAGCAATCAACTTCGGCTTTCCCCCTCTGTCAAATTTAGAAGAAGGAGAGGAACCTGCAGGGAGAAGAAGGAGAAGACCTATCTGATAATGTTGCTGTGCAGATCAAAGTGAGTAATTTGTAAACCCTTTAGATATATGCCTGTGCATACACCTGGAAATACTGGTGTTCAATAAATAAAAATAATGAAAGCTAAGCCCCTTTGAATTAACTTTTCTGGCACTTGGATGGTGAAGAATGAGCTCCTTAAGCAGAAGGCTGGGGCTAGAAAGTTGACACGGGAGGAGCCTATATGGGGGGAAGGGGTAAATGTGCAGACTTGGAAGGATAGCCTCTGGGAGGATAGTGTGGCACACTGGCCTCTGACATATGGTGGGGGGGGACATCTGTATTGTCTGGTAGTGGGAGACAACCGCCACTCGCCTCCAGCAGCTCCCCCTACCCCACAGTCTTGGCTCAAAGGGCCAAAGCTGTGCCGTTTACAGAAGGGTTAGAGCATGAACGAGGAGAAGAGCAAAATGTCTTGTCAGAAAGGAGCAGCAGAAGGCAAGTCTCTGTGCCCCTCAACTTCTCTTGCAGACCTTCTAAGAGCCGGTTTCCTAACCTGACAGGCCCTCCCCTATCTCAGCTCTGAAGACCCCTACCTTTCCCCCGGTAACTGCAGTGCTGGTAGCCGAGGGTCCTGTGAGCACCTCAGGGTCTTCTTGCCAGCTGTCTGAAGGCCACAGAGCCTTCCTGACTCTCCTAACTTCGAGCCTTCTACCAGATTCTGTGAGCCAAAACCTACCCCTTCCTGGGCGGGCTTCCCAGCCTGTGACCTGAGCAGTCCCACTGACCCCACACTTGGCCTGACGTCCTGCTGTTGCTGCCTTGGAATTATTCCTGATTTTCCAACAAGGGCGCCCGTCGGACCCTACAAATTATGTAGCCAGTCCGGCTCTCCATCCCAGCTGCCTGCACTGGGATTTCTGATCTTGTGACCACAGCCCTGAGCACACAGACGTCCCCTCCCGGGTCCCAGCATGGGCCGCCCTCAGACACGGATGCCTGGTAGCCTCCCCTCCCCGGGCCTGGAAGTCTCTCAAGTGCCTCTCCCCAAAGCACCCTCCTGGGTTCAGATTCCTGTCTTGGTCTGGAAGACTGACTATCATTTTCCCTAACTGGTCTCCTAGCTTCCAGTCTTCTCCCTCCTCTGGGAAGCAGCCACCAAAATCTTTCTAAATTCCAAAGCTGATCATGTCCCTTACCTGCTTATAACATCTTAGGGGCTCTCAGAAGCTTAAGCTATAAATTCCAAACCCCTGTGGTCCAGGGAATGATGCACTTCCTGATCCAGCCCCTGCCTATGTATCTAGAAATCACCCCAACCCATGCCCTCCCTGCGCCCCGCCAGCCTCCCTGCACCCCCCATGCAGCATTGCTTCCCATTCCCAGAAAGGGCATGTCTCTGCACGCACCATTTCTGCTGCCAGGCACTCGGCACTCCTGCTTCATCCAGCTAACACCTGCCACCTTCAGAACTCAAGAGCCACCTCCTCCAGAAAGCCTCCCCACAGCTCTGAGTGCCTCTCAGAGTGGTGGACTGTCCTGATCGTTCACTTGTCTTTCTCCCGGTGTCCTCGCCAGACAGCACAAAGCCTCTCCGTGCGGCAGGGGCATGCTGACCCCTCTGGCGCCAAAGCCACTTCTCCTCTCTGGGCCTCTGTCTTCCAATTCATTGCGGACACCTGCTGCACAGCCGGGATCCAAGCAGCTCCAGACCCTGGCCTCAGGAAGCAAGACGAGCAGAAGGGGTGACAAGCATAAACATTGTGCAGGTGCGTGAACACCTGTGACAATGTCCGCTGGTGATGTCTGCTGAGCAGACCACAGCAGGTCAGAGAGGGAGGGTGTCACTGTCGTCCATCAGGTCCTCGGGAGGGCCTCTCTGGCAAGGGGACACTCCTGAAGGAAGTGAGGAGGGAGCCCTGCTGGTGTAAGGAGTGCAGTGGTGGGGGTGTGGGTGTGGGTTCCAAAAAGAAGGGACAGGGAGAGCAAAGGCAGGAATGTTGGTGAGACCCAGGGACGGTTTAGGAACCAGTATGGCCAGATCAGGGTGAGTGAGGGGGAGGATGGAAGATGGATGAAGTCAAGGAGGAATGTGGGGGCCAATACAGGTTGTAGTGGAAGCCCCGCCCTGTCCCAATTGGCCTTGAAACCCACCCACATGGATCTATACCCAATCTGACTTCTCTCATTCCTTCAATGAATAGTTCTGTCCTTCCAAGCCTTCTACCCCCTGCCCCTTGGCTTTCCCACCACCTCCTTCCTTCCTGCTGGGGGAACCCCTAGCGATCCCCTCACCTCCCTGCCTGTTGACTGCCCACCCATCCCTATAATAATGATTTGAGTGCCCTGCTCCATATCCCATCAGCCCTCCTGGGATCCCGGGTATAGACAGCTCTCCATACTCAGGCACCCCACCCCATCCACTCTCTCTGGGGGAGGGGCAGGGGCAGGACTCACGAAGCCTGCAAAGACAGCAGACCAAGGGGGGAAGGGGCCAATACCCCAAGGGCAACCTCATTCATGGAAGACGGGAGTGGACAGATATATATCCTCTGGACAAGGCTGGAATGCATTCGCGGGCTTCTCATGTCCCAGAAGGAGCAACCTCCTGTTGCCCATGGTGGTGAGCAGTTCAGTAACTCTGTCCTACCTTAGCTTTTCCTTTTCTTTCTCTCGCTCCTTCTACTCCCTCATTTTTATTTCCTGGGATCGTCTCACAGACAAACCTGTCTCTGAGTTCAATTTGAGTTTAACTCATACCAAGTCTTGTCTCAGGCTCTGCTTCCAGGGAATCCAAATGAAGCCAGTTTTTGTGGTTACATAATGGAGAAGGGGTCCTTCCTCCCGGCCAAGGTCACGCTTGCCACCACCCACCTGTGCAGTATAATTTCTCTCTTTTTCTGGAGAATCTCCACAATCCGGCCACGAGTTGCTCCTCCACGATCACTTACTCTCTCTCTCTCCCATCATTTACCTTTAAACAGACTCAAGTCTCTCCCATCAGAATGGAAAAATGAACTATTCTTCAACCCCACTTTTCTCTGGCTTCTAGGGCTCAGCTTGCTCTGCCTCCCAGGTGGTCTGAGACCACTACCCACTCCCTACACCTTGAAACACATTCCCTGCTGGTTCCCCTCTTCCTTCTTGGGATGTGTCTTCTCAGCCTCTTCTGCTGGGTCCTCCTCCTTGATGGGGCCACTTGTGTGGCCCAGGCAAGGCCCTGGTCCTCCATTGCCCACACAGTGTGCTCTCTGCTTGGGGGACCCCACAGACACCTGCGTCTGTGTGTGTCCAGCCCAGGCACACCCTAAGAGCCAAGCACATGCTTCTCACCTCCACTTGCATGTCTCAAAGCACACTAATCTGTACATCCCAACTTCCCATTGCAGCTCAACCCACTCCTTCTCTTGGTTTCCCCATCTCAGCAGGAGTGCCAGTCTCTATCCAAAGAGGCACAAGTCACACGCTGCCATGGGGCCATCCTGACTCCTCTCCCCCCCACCCCGCCCCGTGTCCTGTATATCGCGAAGTCCTCCTTTACCTCCTAAATCTTTATGGATCAGTCTACTTGCACCCATCTCTGGTCACCCACCACCCCTCATCCTGGGCACTTTCCCTCGAAATAACATCCTAACTAGTGTTACCAGATAAAATTCAGGATGCCCAAAATAGTTGGATTTCAGATTCTAAAAATTCTTTTAAAAATATAAGTATATCCCAATATCACATGGGACATACCTACATGGAACAATTTTCATTGCTTATTTGAAATTCAGTTGTATTTTTTCATGTTCTTTTCTTGTTAAAATTCTATAAAATTCTCATAGTATTTCAAGGATCATCTTCTATTTTTATTTGCTAAATCTGGTGATCCTGACCCTTACTGACCTCCCTGCAACCCCACACTGTAGCAGGGTGACATTGTTCAAACAAAATTTGCTGAGTAGTCAGAAAAGTTAAGTATATGTATTGTAATCGCTAGATCCACCACTTAAAAAAAAACTATATGTAATGTACAACATAGTGACTATAGTTAATCATACTGGATTGTATATTTGAAGGTTTACTAAGGGAGTACATTTAAAAAATTCTCACCACAAGAAAAAAAATCATTAGTATGTATGGTGATGGATGTTATCTAGATTTACCATGGTGATCACTTCCACTTCCCAACATACACAAATATTGAATCAATATGTTGTACACCTGAAATTAATGTTACATCTCAATTATATTTCCATTTTTTAATATAATGATTAAAATTTAAATTTTCTTTTTCTGAAAAAAATGTAAATACAGAAAATTCTGTTTAAAAAAAAGAAAATTCTGTTGATGGAAATAAATTAGTATTATCTTGAGTGTCCCCCATGTGCCAGAAATACCTGGAAAATGAGATGTTCCATTTAACTAAAAATTCTGATTAGTCAAGTTATCACAGATAATATCCATGAAACTTGGCATCACTATTTGCAAGGATATAACAATACAAGCAGCAATAATCTTTAATTCAGCACTTTGAGACCATGATGTTTCAGAGTCACCACCATAAAATAACTTAGGAGCACAGAAACATTAGCCTAGAATCTGGAAAGCACATTGGACTGAGTGCCAGGGACACAGGGAGACAGGTCCTGGTCTCATTCTTACCTTACTATTGGATTTAGGCAAATCATTTTAATTCTCTCCGTTGCAGTTTCCTTCTCTGTGAAACGAGGGGCTACACTAAATGATCTCTAAAAGCTCTTCTGGCTCTGATTCAATCACCTTATAGGGTGATAGACTGAAGAAGTGCTGCCTCATGGTGTTTCTGTTGAGAAAATGCTGAATATACTAGTTTCTACTATATTTCTATAAAAATGAAAAAATCCATAACTTCATATCTTTGAGGAGAAAAGAGTTATCTTCATTGGACCAGAGAAAATACAGTCAATTTATTATGATTCTGGACGAAAGGAAACGGATTAAGAAATTTCTGTAGGGTCCCCAGAAATCCAAGGACAGAGCAGACATTAGATCTCATTAATTCCAAGGGCAAAAGTCCCTGAAGAAAATCTTCAGGACCTACTGAAGCCAACATCTATGAAATGGGATACCGAAGTCTGAAGAAAGTTTGCACAGCCTTTAAGCAGAGTGCCTTCCTCCTAGTTCAGGGAAATCCAGATGGATCCAGGTCCTCGAAGGCATGTACGTAGTAAAATAATAAAATGTGTTTCCACCACATGTGTTTTCAAGTGGTAGCTTATGTTTCTTTCTTTCTTTTTTTTTTTTTTAAAGATTTTTATTTATTCATTTGACAGAGATCACAAGTAGGCAGAGAGGCAGGCAGATAGAGGAGGAAGCAGGCTCCCTGCTTTGCAGAGAGAGAGCCCGATGCAGGGCTCAATCCCAGGACCCTGGGATCATGACCTGAGCCGAAGGCAGAGGCTTTAACCCACTGAGCCAACCAGGCACCCCAGAAGCGTATGTTTCTTTAGGAATTCTTAGAAATTAGACTCTTGACAGATTCTTTATTAAACTTAGTTTGAATTGTCTCAAGGAGCTTTGTGAAAACTTGGGAAAATAATTTAGAATCTATTCAACCTTCCTAAGGTAAAAGAAAAAAAGTATACAAGGAGATAACAATTTAAAAATACACACACACACACAATAAAAAATAAAACAAATAAAAAAAACCCTCAATAAATAAATTAAAATAGAATACAGAAAAATAGTTCAACAGAAAGCAGACAGGGGGAAACAGAGGAACTAATAACATAGGGAACAAATGGAAATCAAATTATAAAGTGGAAGTTCTAGGGGTACCAGGGTGGCACAGTTCATTGAGCAGCCTACTCCTGGTTTCAGCTCAGGTCGTGATCTCAGGGTCTTTGGATCATGCCCCTCATTGGCTCCACATTCAGTGAGTAGTCTGCTTAAGACTTTCTCTCCTTCTCCCTCTGCCCCTCCTCATCGTGCTCTCTCTCTATCTAAAATAAATAAATAAATAAATAAATAAATAAATAAATAAATAAATAAATCTTTTTTTTAAAAAAAGGAAGTTCTAATCTAAGCATATCAATAATTACATTAAATGCAAATGACTTAAATTTCCAGTTAAAAATCAGAGATTTTCAAAATGAATAAAAAACTAGTAAGACTCAATAATATGTTGTCTATAAAAAAAATTTTATAGTAGACAGTTAATAGTAAAAGGGTGGGAAAAGATGTACCTTGTAAACAGTAATCAAAAGAAAGCTACAGTGGCTATTTTAATAACAGGCAAAGTGAATTTCAGAGTAAGGAAATCTAACAGGAATAAAGAGGGATACTGATAAAATGGTCAACTCACAAAGAAGACTTAACACTCCTAAATGTATATATACCTAAGAACAAAGCTTCAAAACACATGAAGCAAAAACCAACAGAACTGAACAAAAAATAGAGAAAACCTACAATTATGGGTGGAGATTTCAACAATTCTCTCAGCATTTGATTGAAAAAATATACAGATCAATAAGGATATAGAACTGGACAACACCATTAACAAACTGGATCTAAGTAACATTTTTAGGACCCACCGATCAACAACCAAGTACACATTCTTTTCAAGTGCACATAGAACATTCACCAGTATAGACCATATCCTGGGTCATAAAGCAAATGTCAACAAATTTTAAAAGTTGAAGTCATACAAAGTATCTTCTCCAACCGTAATGAAATTAAAGTCAGGAACAAAAAGGTACCTGGTAAATTTTCAAACACCGGAAATAAAACCACACACTTATAAATAATCTACAAGTCAAAGAAAAAGGTCTCAAGAACATTGGAACTGAACAAAAATAAAATTATAAGTCAAAATTTGTGACATGTAGCTAAAGTAGGACTTAGAGGGAAATTTATAGCTTAAAATGGTTACATTAGAAGAAAGGTCAAACAACCTTGGAACCCAAGTTCAATCTTGAGAAACTATAAGACTGGAAACTATAAGACTGGAGCTTATGGGGCTGGAGGAGGGGGAGGGCAAAACAAATCCAAAGCAAGCAGAAGGATGGAATTAAGGGCAGAAACAATGACACTGAAAACAGAAAAAGCAATAGAAAAAAATCAATAAAACAAAAAGTTGATTATTTGAAAAGATCAATAGAATTGATAAACCACTAGCCAAATTGTCAAAGAACAAAGGAGAGGACACATTTATCAATATTAGTAATGAAAGACATATGTCACTACAGACTCTGACATTAGAAGGATATTGAGAGAATACTATTACCAGCTCTACAACATTACATTCAAACAGGGTAGATGAAATGACTGAGTCCTCGAAAGATAGAACCACCAAAACTCACTCAAAAAGAAACAGATCAGAAGAAGGAGGGGGAGGGGGGAGGGAGAAGAGGAGAAGGAGAAGAAAAAGAAGAAAAAGGAGGAGGATGGGGAGGAAAAGAGGAAGAAGAAGAGGAGGAGGAAGAGCGAGAAGAGGAAGAGGAAGAAGAAAAAGAAGGAGAAGTGGAGGAGGAGGGGAGGAGGGGGAGAAGAAAGGAGAAGAAAACAGGACAGGTTATCCAAAGAGTATACATTTTAAAAAATTGAATTTGTAAATTCAATTCAATGATTACAAAAAAAGAACTCTCCCAGCCCAGATAGCTTCGCTGGCAAATTTAACTAAACATTTAAAGAAGAAATAATGCCTATCTCTTCCAGAATATAGAAAAGGGAACACTTCCCAACCTATTTCATGAGGCCAGCATTACCTTGATATGAAAGCCAGATATAGGTAGTAAAGGAAAATATCCTTTACTGTCCCTTATGAACACAGATTTTTAAAAATCCTCAGCAAAATCTTTGCAAATAGAATCAGCAATAAATAGAGTGAATAATATACCATGACTAAGTGAGGTTTATCCCAAGAATGCAAGGCTGGTTCGGTATTTGAAAATCAATCAATATAATCCATCATATTAACAGATGAAAGAAGAAAAATTACATGATCCTATTAATTGAAGCAGAAAAAAATCATTTGACAAACTTCAACATTAATCCATAGTAAAAGGCTCTCAGCAAATTAGGAATAGAAAAGAATTTTCTTAATCTGGTAAGGGACATGTACAAAAAACTCACAATTAATATCATACCTAATAATGAAGAACAAAATGCTTTTTTTCCAAAACCAAGAGCAAGGCAATGGTGTCTACTCCCATCACTCTTATTCAACATCAACACAGGAAGTCCTAGTCCATGCAATGAAGAAGAAAGAGACAGAGGTATACAGATTGGAAAGGAGGAAATAAAATGGTCCCCATTTGCAGACAGTAGTTTGCTCAATGAATTGTGCCACCAGGTGCCCCTAGGACTTCCATTTTATAATGTCTTTGTAGAAAATATGGAATCGACCCAAAAAGTTCCTAGAACTAACAAATGAGTTGAGCAAGTTTGCAGAATATAAGGTCAATACACAAAAATCAACTATATTTCCATATACTAGCAATGAACACTTGAAAACCAAAATTTTAGAAAACAATATCATTTACAATATTTCCCTAAAACAAAATTCTCAGGTATAAATATAACAAGACATGTGCAGCATCTGGACACTGAAAACTACAAATGCTGTCAGAAGAAAACAAAGAAAACCCAAATAAATGGCATGACATACCATGTTCATGAATTGGATGACTATAGTTTAATGTCAATTCTCTTCTAGCACAACCCTAGTAATATTTTCTGGTAGACATAAGCAAGCTGATTCCAAAATTTTTATGGAAAGATGATGAAACTAGAATAACCAAAACAATTTTGGAAAAAAAAAAAGTCGGATGAATCCCACCACCCAATTTTAAGACTTAATAAAGCTGTAATAATAAAGGCAAGATGGGATTAGCAAGGGATAAACAACTAGGGAAATGGAACAGAATGGAGAGCTCAGAAATAGACCCATAAATATGGCCAATTGATTCTTTTTTTTAAAAAAGATCTTATTTATTTGACAGAGAGAGAGAGAGAGAGAGAGATCAGAAGTAGGAGAGCAGCAGGCACAGAGAGAGGGGGAAGCAGGCTCCCTGCTGAGCAGAGAGTCTGATGTGGGGCTCGATCCCAGGACTCTGAGATCATGATCTAAGCTAAAGACAGATGCTTAACCCACTGATCCACCCAGGCGCCCGTGGCCAATTGATTCTGACACAAGTACAAAGGCAATTCAATGGAGAAAGAGTAGCTTTTTCAACAAATAGTGTTGTATAGATATATATCTCCACTCGTTCCCCTTGGAATATATATATATGTATATATATATATATACATACGTATATATATATATATACATATATATATATCTCAACCTAAACCTCACAATTTATATAAAAATTAACTCCAAGTGAATAATAAATCTAAATGTTTAGTGTGAAACTATGAGACTTTTAGAAGGAAACATAGGAGAAAATTATCACAACCTAAAATTAGGCAGAGTTCTTAGATATGACATCAAGAGCACAATCCATAAAGAAAACAATGGATAAAGTGGACTTATCAAAATTAAAAAATTTTGTTCTGTTAAATATGCTATTGAGAGAACAAAAAAGCAACCTACAGAGTGGGAAGGAAATGTTTACAAATCACTTGCATCTAGAATATATTAAAAACTCTCAAAATTCAACAGTAAACAAACAAACAAAAAAAACCCACAAGTTTTAAAATGAGCGAAAGACTTTAATAGTTCATCAAAGAGGATACATGAATGGCAAATACGCCCATGAAAAGATGCTCAACAGCATCAGTCATTGGAGAAAAGCAAACTAAAATCACAGTGAGATATCACTGCACACCGGAAGAACAACTAGAATTAAAAATATTTGATGCAGGTGAGGATCTGGAGCAACTGGAATTCTTCTGCATTGCTGGTGGGAATGCAAATTACAGAGCCACTCTGGGAAACAGGTTAGCAGCTCCTCATAAAGTTAAATATACACGTATCATAGGACCCAGGAGTCCCACTCCTGGGTATTTAGAGAAATGAAAACTTATAGGCAGGGGTGCCTGCCTGGGTGGCTCAGTCGTTAAGCGTCTGCCTTGGGATCGAGACCCGCATCAGGATCCCTGCTCGGGCTGGAAGCCTGCTTCTCCCTCCCCCACTCTCCCTGCTCATGTTTCCTCTCTCTCTCCCTCTCTCTCTCTCTCTCTCTCTGTCTGTGTCAAATAAATAAATAAAATCTTTAAAAAAAAAACAAACAACTCAGGTATGCACGCGTGTGCAGGCACACGCACATACACACTGTAAATGAATGTTTATAGCAGCTATATTCCTAGTCATCGAAAACTGGAAACAAATACCCATCAATAAACAAAGAGCTAAACATTCTGTGATGCATCCAGTCAATGAAATACTACTCAGTACCAAAAAGGGACTGAGATCAATCCCAAAGTCATGAGTAAGAGTCCATCCCCATAACATTCTGGAAAAGGCTAAACTGTAACAATGGAGAAGGGATGAGCGGTTTCCAGGGTTTAGGGGTAGAGGCTAGTGTGATTGCAGAGGGGAGTTCTGGGGGCTGATGGAATTGCTCAGTGTACTGAGTCTGGTGGTGATCCCAGGAATCCATACATGTGTTAGAAACTCATAGAACCATATACAACCCACCCCCCTACAAAAAGTCCAGCTTACTGTACTTTAATTAAAATTTTTTTTCTTAATTTGACATCATTCTTTTTTTTAAGCTTGATTTTTCTTTTTTTTTTTTTTAAGATTTAATTTATTAATTTGACAGACACACAGTGAGAGAGAGAACACAAGCAGAGGGAGAATGGGAGATCCCCAAACCCTGGGATCATGACCTGAGCTGAAAGCAGAGGCTTAAAGACTGAGCCACCCAGACTCCCCTGACCAGCTATTTTGCTGCCTTCCCAGTGGGCTCCAACAAAAGCCAGACTCCTCCCCAGGAAGGGTCTCCACCCCTCATCTCCTCCAGGCCAGCCTCATTTCCCACCAGCAGCCTTGCCTTCTACACAGGAGCCTTTCTTTTCTCAGTTCTTTGAGAAGTGCAGGCTCTCTCCCCCCTCAGGGCCTTTCCCTATGCCTGGCGTCCTTCCCTGAGGTTTCCTTCCCCGAGTCTGCAGCCAAGGGTGAGTTGCGGGAAGGGAGTGGGTGAGGAGGCGCCCTTGAACCTCCCTCCCCGCATGCCCCCTGGCTACCCTGTCACCACTCCCCTGCTCCATCTGCCCTTGAACCTGTGCTGGTCCCCAAGGACCACGAGTTAAAGATGCAGATTGTAAGGTAAACCTCAGAACATACCGCTAACCAGCGGTCTTCATATTTGGGTACCTCAGAGACATGGGGAGCGGGGAGGGTGGCTGTTGAATGCAGATACAGGTCGTGTCCCCCCACCCAACTTGGGGGGCTAGTAGGGGAGGTGGGGCCCCAGAAGCCAGCACGGTCCTGCACCCCGAGCCTGGCCTTCCGCTGCTGCTGCTGCTGCTGCTGCTGCTGCTGCTGCTGCTGCTACTACTGCTACATGGGAAACCGGGAAGCCCGAGGTAGAGCCCTCTTTACAGGCAATCCATAAGCTCTTCATTGTATTCCTTTAAAAGGAAAATGGAAAACAAGGCTGATTCCTCTCTGCCTGTGTGGGAGCTCAGGAGAGCACTGAGCAGGCTGGAGGGCACCTGGGACCCTGAACCTGGGTAGTGGATGCAGGACAGAAGGACAGAAGTTTGGGGTAAGGAGGCTGAGGATCTGCAGGGACACCTTCCCCCAAGGTGGCACCACCCTATTCTTTTTTTTTTTTTTTTAAGATTTTTATTTATTTATTTGACAGACAGAGATCACAAGTAGGCAGAGAGAGAGGAGGAAGCAGGCTCCCTGCTGAGCAGAGAGCCAGATGCAGGGCTCGATCCCAGGACTCCGAGATCATGACCCGAGCCGAAGGCAGAGGCTTTAACCCACTGAGCCACCCAGGCACCCCACCCTGACTGCCCATCACCCACCCCCTCCTCAGCCTTAAAGAGCCATTCACAACCACCGCCCCCACAACCCTACCCCAGGATCTCCCACTGTGGCAGGAAAACACAAGCGCACACGAACACACACACACACACATACATACACACACACACGCATACACACACAAATCCCCCTTGCCCATAGGGAGGTGGCACCTTCCTCCCAGCCCCACTCAAGACTTCAGACCCCAGGGTATACAGCCAGTGTTCATTCCCCTGGGGTTGATAATGAACGGGAGGAAAAGACCTCAGTGGAAATTCTCCCCAGACCATAGGCTGCTTCCCCAAGGCCCCAGAAGGTTCCTAGAAGGGGCAGAGGGGCCAGTCATCCAAGGACAGTCAAGATACTGAGGGCCAGGAAATGGGCTGGATGGGAGGCTTGAGCTGGCCAGAGGCCTGAGGAAGACAGGCCACCCTGGACTCAACCCTGGGTCTCTGCTTCTAGTTGGTTCTACCCTCAAAACATATCCAGAATCCCAGCCCTCCTCTTAGCTCTGTTGTCCCCACCCTGGTTCAGGACCCCATCACCTCCTACCTGGACACCTCAAGTGGTTTCCTTCCTGGGCCCTGGCATTTTTGCCTGCCCTCTAGACTCAGTTTCCCCTCAGAAGCCACAGAAACGCTGCTAAAACTTTGTCCTATCTGGTCACTCTCCTGCTTAGCACCCTCTCCTGCCCCCTATTTCTTCCCAGTGAAACAGTGCACACAGGTCTGCGCCCTCATGCCTCCCTGACCTCATTCCCCCACCTCCCCACTCTCCCCTCAAGCACCACACTTCCACTTCCTCATCCTCTGCTGTTCAAACAGACCAATCTTGCTCTCACCTCGGGACCTTGGCACTGGCTGTTCCCTCTGCCCTGATGCTGTTCCCCAGACACCCACATGCTCCCTTCCGGGCTCTGCTCTGATGTCATTTTCTCAGAGAGGCCATCCACAACTGCCCCATATGAAAATCAGCACCCCTTCTCCTGCTACTGCACACTCAATGTCCCTCTCTTTGTCCACCCTGCTGACCAGCGTCCAAGCCTTGGTTTAACATCAGCTCGGTGAGGACAGGCTCTTTGCTGGTATCACTGTGTGTCCCTACACACAGTAGGTGCTCAATCCATATCTGTTAGAAGAATATGGGATCCCGGGTCAGGATTCCTCCTCCCATATCTCAGCTCCCTCTCCCCTTCCTCCTGCTCAATCTCCACCCACCACCCACCAAGGAGGGCCATTGGGTATGGAATAGCATGGGCAGGAAGCCAGAGCCCTAGCCACTGCCCCCAGATGCAAGCCTGGGATTCAAGCCGGGGATCGGGCCCTTGTCCCCCAGAATCGTTGCTCCTCATGGCCTCAGCAGTGGGCCTCGCCCTCTCCTGGGCCCCCTCCACCTCTCCCCAGCTGCTCCTCTCCCCCGGGGGCTGCCTGGCACACCATGGGTGAGACAAGCAGAACTGTCGGGACACCTGCTGCCCTACCAGGGGCTCAGCAGGGTCTCCTGATACCTTACCAGACCTCATGACACTCCCTGTGCCCATTTTAGAGGTGAGGAAACTGAGGCCCAAGAGGCTAAGTGACTTGTCCCAGAACATGCAGAGCATGAGATTCCTACCCACAAGGTCAGACGTGGGGACCTCTTTTCCTGAGGCCACACATTCAATTTCCAATCAGCCTATAGCCCTCCCGTGCCCTGTAAGTCAGGAATTGACCAGTGGCTCTTATTCCCCGCTCAGTCCTTCCTCTTCCCTCCCTCCAGCCGACATTGGCACGGGAGCCGTGGTTATCTGTGAGGGAGAGGGAAGGAACTGTTGTCCATTGGGTTCCTGCCACAGGCTGATTATCACGTGGAGCGTTTTACACATATCACCTCTGTGATCCTCGCTGTGACCCCACTACACAGATGAGTGAACTGAGGCCAGAGAGGTTAAGTAACATATCCCACACTGCTCAGCAAATAAACAGTGGAAAGGGGTTTCCAGGCTGGCCCCAATATCCCGAGATGGCCTGCAAATCCCTGAGGCTTTCCTGTCCTTCCTCTTGAAAACTCCAATGCCCCCTGTCCCAGAGGGAAAATGTCCCTGGTAGCCCCTCCATGGGCAGGAGAGTGTGAGTGGAGGCAGGCCAGGCCCTGCCAAGTGAGGGCAGCGGGGGGAGCCGCTGCGTTTATTAATTTTCTGCCTCAGTGGTTCGGCAGCCCCGGCCGGAGCCTGCAGAGTTACCGTCCAGTCTATTAAATAATTCTATCTGGGAAGAACCTGGCATTCGAAAGACCATGCTGATGGGCTTCTAAAATTTAATTGCTCTACTAAATGAGATCAGAAATGGGGAGGTGAGCAGGGTGAGCCCAGCTGAAAGCATGGCTAGGTTTCAGGAGATGAGGGGGCACAGCAAACATCTTTCTGTCAGCCCCTGTCGGCCTGGCATCGCACACCCCACCCCCGCCAGACGGACCACGGGAGTTGGGGGGTAGCGCCCAGACCTGAGCTCCCTAAACCTCCATCACCCGGCAGAGCATCCACTCCCTTGTGGTCCTGCCATTCTGGCCCTCCTTCCCCACCCCACAGGCTCCTCCAGGCCTGTCACACCAGTCGAGACACCTTTCCTGAAAGTTCCCCGCACTCCCTAGCCTTTGCTCATGCAGACCCTTCGCTTAAAGGGCTGTTCTCCCCTCAACAAGCAAACTCCCCACTCTCCACCAATCGAAAGCCCTCCCAGGGGCACCTGGGTGACTAAGTCGGTTAAATGTCTGACTCTTCCTTTGAGGTCATGATCTCAGGGTCGTGAGTTCGGGCCCCACGTTGGGCTCTGTGCTCAGAGTAGAGTCTGCTTGAGATTCCTTCCCTCTCCCTCCCACACCTTGCACTCGCGCTCTCTCTGTCTCTCTCAAATAAATAAAATAAAATTTTAAGGGAAAAAAAAAGTTCTCCCAAATCATCCAGACAGAGCCAGGGGCCCCGTCCTCTGTAGGGTGGGACCCCTGCAGGGGAAAACAGAGTTCCCTCAGGGTTCTGAGAAAGGCAAAACTGTGTGTCTGTGCTAGCCACTGGATAATACTGTGATTGGATGGTAGTTTGATATTTTAAAAGCTCTTTTTCTGATTTTCTCCCTCCTTGCATTTCTCCCTCCACCGTTCTCTCAGCGGATAAGTAGCCACCTCTGGGCCTCACTTCTCTGGAAAGCAAGGTCTAATGAGGGCCAGGAACAGGGCCCCAACTCTGTGCTCCCTTGCTCTGGTGTCTTCCTTTCACATCACTGACACCCAGAACCTTCGGCCTTCTGGCTGGTTTTCCCCCAGAGCAAGTTTTAGGTCTTCCCCCACGCCAGAATTCCTGCTTCCTCTCCCTCATACCAAGGTGTCACTGTCTATGCAGCCTCTCTTCCTCCTCTGCTTTCCCGTTGTAAACCCCTCTCTCCGTTTCCCCATTCAAGCCTCTGAGCTTCTGTGCTTAAAAA